CCCCTCCCCTCCTCTGCCCCCAGCCCACAGCCCTTCTCCCTCCCCGCCCCCGGAGCACACCCAATTGAAGCAGCCCCACGATTGCGCACCCGGCCTGCCTTCCTCTCTGTCCCCCAGCCCGCTTGCCTCCTCCTCTCGCTGCGTAGCTCGCGACACCTCCCCCTCTCCCTCCCCCCTCTGGTGCGGCCATACGCCCGCATCGCCTTCTCTTGGCCCCTTCCCGCGCCCCGCCTGTCCCCTCGCTGCTCAGCTTTTGCCCCGTGCACCTGGAGCCCCAGTGCCCGAGAGCCCGATGCCCCTGCCAGGTGTCAACAGCCTGCGTAGCACCCTGAACCGGCTGCTGGCCGCCGAGCCCACCACCGAGCCGAAGCCCGCCCCAGCGACATTGGCCGCCCGCTCGGAGCACCTCAGACCGGCTGCCCCCTCCCCGGAGGCCGATGTGCTGTCCCGCGGCGACATGGGGTTCATCGGCCCGAACGCACGAGAGGCAGCTCTTTTCCATCGGCCGCCGGCCGGTGGTGGCATCGGCGGCAGCGGCGGCCACAGCGGCGGCGGCGGTGGCGGCGGCGGTGGCGGCGGCGGCGGCGGCGGCGGCGGCGAGGTGGTTCTTGTCCCCCCAAGCGCGGCCTTGCGTGACTGCTGAATGTGCGAGCGCCGCCGCCCGTCCCTCCCATCCGCACCCCTCCCCCTCTCTCCCCTCCCCCTCCGAACTGCACTCGCACATGTATACACGCGCGCAAGTGTGCCCAAAGATCTCTCTGTGTCCGCTTGTGTGTGTGTGTGTGTGTGTCTGTGTGTGAATACTGGATGCGCGTGCGCACATTTGCCCGATACATGCCGGGATGGGCCGCAATGAAGCCGAGGGCCTGGTCACCAGCTGCCGGACCCTCTGGTCTGAGCGGCCCTCCGATGGGTGAATGCGCGCGCGCCCGCCCGCCGGTAGCCCCGCCTCCCCCTCCCTCCTCCATTCCTCGCCGCCGACCGCCGAGCCCCATCTCCCGGAGTGGGCTACCAGCGAGCCGTCCCACGAGCAGGGTCTCCAGGCCAGCTCCCACTGCTGGCCCCCTGCTGCTGCTGCTGCTGCTGCTGCTGCTGCTGCTGCTGCCTCAATAGGGCTTTCCCTCCCTGTCCTCCCTCCCCCTCTCCCCC